GTTAAACAAACGAGCCGAACACAAACACACTTTTTGAGCTCGAAATCGTGTTCGGCACGTTTACACCCCTATTTACATGTTACAAAAGAGATATATAAGCACACTTTTTTCCTATAATCAAAGGATTGTGCGGTGCAAGCGAGTATTATTTTATTTAAGAATGATTTAATAAATTTTTGAAATTTGATTTTAGTAAATGATTAAATGCCTAAATGCATAAAATTGCTTAGTATAACAGATATAAATACAATTAACAAATTATTATAGGATATAATTTTAATAGTTAAATGTTAATTTAATTATATATAGTATCTACATAATTATTACGTCGCATTAATTTTAATTTTAAAACTAAATTATAATTACGGTTATGAATAATAAAAGATTTATTAAATTAATTAATTATTAAAATTTTGCTAAATTATTTATTCATCAAATATTAATCTTATTCATTAATTAATTATGTTTTTTTTATTTATTTGACTAACTAATAATTAATTAAGATTGTATAAATCATTTAATTTAATATGTAATAAAATTTCTGTTAATTATTTATAAAATAATTACGCACAGGTGTTAGATTCCAAATTATCTTTTGTAAAGTCGCCTCGAGAATTAGAGGCGAAAGAAGGGGGTGGAAATAGAATAAAGTGGGTCAATAATTCACTCTCAATATGACTATAGGAAGAGTTATCTTCATTCATTTTTTTTTTCTTATTTTACTTTGAATGTTTTTTTCACAATTACAAGAATGAGATAACAGTTATAAAAATTATTCTTAATATGATTAATGTTCTAAATTATTATATAGATTTTATATCATATTTATATTACAATTTGAAATTTAACAAAGTGGTAATCGGTGGGCCGACTTGTTTGAGCTTCGCTGATTAAGGCGACCAGTCGAGTGATGATTGTGCTTCAGAAATGCATGTCGGTTGTTCGAGGGTTCGGCTGTATGACGATATCGCTCATCGCGGGTTAGTCAGCCAGCTAAGTGTGGGTGAGTCATGGCTCACTTGCAATTTAACTCGAGTCTTATAAGATGTGTCTTGCGTGCCTAGTAGGTTCGTCGCCTCAACCGAATCTCCCCATTCCACAAGGTCTTGGGCGGATATTATCACTGCATATGCAAGATATCCTATGAAACTCGTTGTCGGGATGATTTACGCCTCGCTCTCGGCATATATTGCGGCCATCAAATGTGGAATCATCTCCAGAGTTTGGATATATTCTCGACTTAAAAACATGATCTTTTATAATCGGCGTTGAATCAAAGGTTAATTGCTAACGTCGAATGAAAGCTCTTTTTGATATTCATGCCGGTATTTCCATTGTGTGTGTGTGTTAATCATACACGCACTCATGCGCGCTATATATATATATATATAAAATACCTAACTTGATAATATTATTGATTATTAATCAGTAATCACTTAAATTAATTAAAGTTAACTTAAACAAATTATATTAAATCCCTAAACGCATTTTTCCCTCCTCTTCTCCCGGTTTAGCCAGAAACCATCGCCTCCGCCCTACCTTCCGCTTCCCCTTCCCTTGCTCGAAACCATCGCGGTACAGTCGCTACTGAAGCTAGCTGGGAAGGCAACGATGAGATCACGGCGTTAAAAGATCTCCGAAACTCCCATATCCCGTGCTCTCCCGCTCGACTAACCCTCGTCTTTCTCTTCCTTCCTCCCACCACCCTTCGCTCGCTTCAGCTCCTCTAGATCTCGTAAATAAACCTCCAACGGATTTATTAAATACGGGATTTAAGGTAAAGCGGAGGAGAAACGGGATTTAAGATTGCGGATAAGTTGTCATTTTTGCTGATTGACAGTATTTATGTAATATCGTGCTCAAATTCTGCTACCAAACAGCTTAGGGTTTTGATCGGTGATGGCGGAAGTTATTATTGGCCCTTGGAAAGAAAGTAAGGCTGCTAAGCTTGTCTTT